TAGGGTCCTGATCCAGATCCGTCTATTAAGCACAGATCTGAGATCATTCCTTAACTATGTTAATAAGTTCAATGTTGATGACTTGTATATGTTTCTCAATGTCACATAAAGTTTGGAGAATGCGTATCTTTCTTGCTTCATAGTCTGAAAGATCCTGTCTCTATGATATTAGGTAATATGAAAATTAACCCTAAATCATATGGATTTAATTTACTTACCAATTTGCGTTCTTTTATTATATCCTTCCAGTACAGTTGCAAACTAGTCATTCTCATATTATCTGTTGTAAGAAGATTAACATTAATAGTGGTGAATTTACTTTTTATCTTGTGATAAAAGTACATAGTCAACTCCTCCCTAGAACCATAGTTTTTTTTTTTTTTTTTTACCAACAACAAACATCAGGAAAATTTAAAATCTGATTATAATTGATTACAAGCAGTTAATCGATTATAATTGATTGCAATTGGTGGGGTTATTAATAAGTAAAAATCGATTATAACCAATATATATATATAAATCAATTATAATCAATCATTTTTAATTTATACTAGATCCACCACACCAAATAATAATACGGTAATATCAAAATAAAATTCGCATGCTCGTATTTTGCGTTATTTACCAACCTCGCTTTCATAAGAGTCCGGAGGTGGAACTGCGTGATAAGAGCTTCCTTGTTTTTTATCTTCATATGGAGACGTTGGAGGTGAGGTTGTAGTGCTGGGAGTTGTTGATGACGCTGATGGATCTGGTGGTGCCTGCGTAGCTGGCGTTTGATACCCTGCGGTTTGATAATTAGCTGCAGTTGGATACCCAGTATATCCATAATAATAACTAGCATCGACTGCTTGTGCAGCAGTTTGCTGATAGTAAGGATATTGAGAATATTGATAATATCGAGATTGATTGTAAGGGTTATAAGGATTCCAAGCAGTAGTTGTCGCAGCGTTCTGACTACCGGCTGTGTAAGCATTACTAGTAGTGCTGGCATTGTATTGACTAGAGGCACTAGTAGGCGAAGAACTTGCCGTTGTAGCTGTTACAACTGTTGCAGCTGTTGTTGTTGTTGTTGCAGCAGCAGTTGCTGAAGACGGCGGTGGTGGAGGGGGATAATTGGGAAGTGGAGGCAGTGATGTTGCAGTTGATGTACTTGGAAGTGGAGGTGGAGGTGGAGGATTTCCAAGTGGTGGCGGGGGACCACTAGGCAATGGAGGATTTGCAGGTGGAGGAGGGAAAGTCTGTGATTTGAATTATATATTAACAAATTGTTAAAAATAAAAAAAAATCTTTAACATATTAAAAAAATTCATACCCCAGAGGGAGATAACGTCTGTTGTCCGTAAACAGGTGGACGTGGATACGGTGACCTGCCATACGAAGAATATGCCGCCTGTTGTGCTTTATGTTTATCCCATTCTATTTTTACCGTGTTGATGAGGTCTTCGCATAATTTTTTTGCCCTATCCAATCCTTCTTGACTCCAACAACTATAATAGAAAATAGTTTGAATCTGTATCTATTGGTTAATATCGTACCAATCGATCTAAAACATACGTGATGTGAATATGAAGTGGTTCAAAGGCCTCGGTACCCGAAGTAGGTTCAACATAGCCTGATCCTCGACCTTTAAGCTGAACCTTTGCACCCGTCTCTTGTTGAATATGCTTTACATAAGCACCTTGTGGGCCAACGATTTTAGCTCGTGCATTAAATGTGCGATCAGGTTCAATTCCCACAAATACTTTGTCTTGAACAAACTGTCGCTATAAAACGTAAGTTAGTATAATATTCTAATGTAAATTTTCGATTATAAGACTAATAAATACTCCTAAGTGTTGCCCTGGTGGACGAGGTGTTGGTGTCGATGGAGCCGGTGTAAAAGTCTGTTCCATGAGCTCAGTAATTTTATTGATAGCAGCATTTAAAGCCTCTTTAGTTGATGCAGTCACGTGTAAATAAAGAGGAGGGTCCTTTTCGGTAGCAAGAAGCTTGTCTGGGTAGTATTTTCCTCGTGTCGTTACATCTGTCAATAATGTATATATCTCGGTTAGATTATTGTTACAAACAAATAAAAATATCCTAGAAATTCATAATACACCTGCACCAGTTTCTTTCTGAATCTGTAATTGAGACATACATTAGTATATGGTAAAAGAAAACATTGACAATGTATGATTGTTGGGTAATAGAAATATTTTATACCTGCTGTTGTGTTGCACCCTTAGTCAACAAATATCTGTTTTTGCAATCATTGATTGTAATATCATGAGTAAATTCCAAATCAGAATCTTTCTTAGACGCTTTAGAATCCTTTACAGGTTACGTCATGATAACGAAATAAAAATCACGACCACAGGGTTAATTAAATGACAAGACAAAACAAACGCGACTTAAAATATACCTCCGAACTGCCGTTTTCAGAAATATCTAATTTAGATGTGACTATTAATGGCTTTGCTGGAACCTGAATACCTTTTGCCGCAAGCATAGCATTGATTTTTGCTGCCGCGACAGCTATTAGTGCAGAAGAATTAATAATATAAATATTAGATCCAAACTTAGAAACTGTTATAGTTATGTGATGTTTACCTGCAGCTACATTGGGATCTATCGATTCAGAGTTTGAAGGTGTAGGTGAGGGCGCACTAGATTCAGATGCATCACTACTAGGATCAATTTTGGCAGACTTTGAGGTCGTAGAAAGGGGTGGTGCCTCTTTTCCTTGGTCATCAAGATCCCATTTACGTTTCCGACTAACATGACAATTCGTCAAGATTTAGTAAAAACTATTGCAAAAAGTGAAAGAATCTTCTTATATGACAATTAAACCTACGTTTTATTTTGTATAGACATTATGATTTTAGAAAACTTCAGACGAAGAACGTATTAAATGTCCCGACTACAAGTTTTACCCAGTATATAGTTTATATAATTGATTACATTTCGCAATCACGTGTTGAATTCACAAAATTATCTAGCGTGGCGCAGTGTTTCCAAACTATACTACGTAGAGTTTTGAGTTGAGCTCAATCCAGGAAGTCTTAATCGATATTACATTAATATTATACACGTGATCGAAACCATTTCAGTTTATTCGAAACTGGTTACATAATAAATAGATTTAGATACAAATCAAACTTTACTTTGGTCTTTTAGTTAATTCAAACTTTTGGTATGTATGACTTTTGTTTTCTTCTGGCCGTTTCTATTATACTCATTGCCGGAAGTTCTTATTATATTGATCAATAAAATTCGGCACTGCGAATCTGAAAAAATGTACCGGGTCGGTGCGCCATAGTGGCTGAACAGGTAGTCGATTGTTCGAATTATCATTACAGATTACGTACGTACGTGCATTGCCATTTTATATAAACAAATGACGATAAAAAATTAAATTTTAGTTAATATTAACGTTAAGCAAAGATATGTACGTAAGTACAAAATTTAGAATACATGGCAGATACAGTCAAACCTGTTTGTATAAATAAATATTTTGTATAAATAAATACAAAATTTTTAGAACCAAGTTGATTGCTAAGGTTTGCAGTTAGGGATTTTCGCGATATATAAATGATCTACAATATATTAAAAGACTATTCTAAACTCGGATCTATTTAAAAAATGCGTTTTTATTATTTAAAAAAAAAAACCTTTAAAATATTTTTGTAAAAGTTATTCTATAAAAATGTAGTCTAAGAATCCTCCGGGGTCCTTGAGGCTTTAAAAGGCGGTTGTGCCCAAATAAATACACGGACAATGATTGGCACAACTGAATTGTATAAACTGTTAAAAAACTTTTTTTTGGCATTAACGTTAAGATAACCTTTTGGTTAGCTGTTTTTATTTGATCAAAGTGCACTAAGTTGTAACAATTAAATAATTAGTTTTTGATTTATATTGTATTGTTTCTAATTTAGATTAACAAATTACTTAAGTAATTAAAAAATATGATTATATAATTTATAACAAGTTTTGCATTTTCTTATACAGTATATTAAAAGTTTTTAATTGTTTTTTTTTAATATTAAAGTTTAGGTCATATTTTTAACTTTATTGGAATTCAAGTAAAGTTTTTACAAAAAAAAGTTTGCTTTTAAATTATATAAAGTTTTTAGTTGCTTTAGTATTATTATTTTAAAACATTTTAATAATTTATTAAAATTTTAGATAAATTAAAAAATTTTTTTAAAAAAATATGAGCAGTCAATCATTCAACTAAATTGACAATTTTTATTAGTTAGTAATATTTTAAATACATTCATAATTTGTAAAAATACAACTAGTTACATATACAACATTAGTCATTGTTTATTTAAGGATTCTACTTTAAAGTTACTTACTATTTGTTATACTTGATCTTTATTTGTAAGTGCCTTATTTAAACTATCTGGCTTATCTAATCAGTACTTGTATAACTTTAACTATTTTATTCTAAAAATAAGCAACTCTGTTGCTAGATTTGATTTGATTTTATTTGTACTAATACTTAGACAGTTGCATATTTCAGAACCTGTTATTTGTTAATAAGCTTCAAAAGGCTTTTTTATTAATTTATTTACTTATTTTATAGATCTTAACAAGATTATGCTCTTGCAAAGTTCATTCAAATTCTAGTATTACTTTATAGCATATCTTTAATACTTTAATATACTTTTGTTTTTGTTTTTAAACTCCTAATTTGAATAGTTTAATAGAACTATAATCAATTTATTAATATATTAGATTAGTCTAATATTTTTTTTTTGGTTTTTTTAATTCAAATTCTGATAGTCTGGTTAGTGGATATCTTTATCTAAAAGTTTATGTCTATTTAACTTTTATATTAGTATTTATTTTATAGATTTTTTTTTTGATATTAAGGTAACCTTTTGATCTTTTGATTTTATTTAACAATAGTAAATATAGTTTAGTAAATTATTACAAAAAGAGTATACTTTACCTTGAGGATAAATTAGTCCTAAGGTTGAGGATGATGATCTGGTACATCTGAGATGACCAGTGATATTAATACAGGTTACA